CTTCACATCAGCATCCTCTCCCCTTTACATTAGTCATATCAGTCCCCCCCCCCTTTACATCACAGACTCCCATTTTAAATCAATGTCCTCAGCCCTCCTTCATATCACAGTCTCCCGCTTTACATCACAGCACCACCTTTACATCAGTGTCCTCAGCCCCCCCCCTTAACATCACAGCCCCCGCTCACCTCTTTACACCACAGTTCCCTTCACATTACAGTCCCCCACCCCCCTTAATGTCATTACATCAATGTCCACCCTTCATATCACAGCCCACCTCACATCTCAGCCTCTCCCACCTTACATTACTGTACTTTATTCATATTAAAGACCCCCTGCCCCTTAGATCACTATACCCTCTTCATATCACAGCCCCCCCCCCTTACATCACGGGCCCCTTCACTTAACAGCCCCCCTTCATTGCCCTTCCTAATAAATCAGGGCAGAAGAAGGAGGTGTGGCAATTATGTTTGGACCCACCCCATATCTTAGTAACCAATAACCCACTTGTTAACTTGAAATGTCCCAACATCTGTCCAGACCTGCCATGCCTCCCAAATTGAAGATGACAGCAGCAGTCCAGGGGGGATGGGGGGAGAACACTTAGGCCCCTTTCACATGGGCTGACTGTTACACCCGCCTGCATCCAATCCACTAAAAACAGACGGATGGGGTATCCAATCCCCATCCATGTAGCGGATTGGATCAGATGACAGGCAGTTCGGTTACATCTGAGCACCCCGTAGAGAACAGTGGGCTGTGTCCGTGTCTGCTCTGCACAAGTGGAGCGGATACGGACCTGTCTTCCGTCTACTCAGTAGGGATCAGTGGCCAGCTGAGCAGATGGGTTCACTTGGCAGAGTCCACCCGTGTGAAAGGGGCCTTAGGCTGATACATGGTGTGGACATGGTCTGGATAGGACTGTCATTCGGTCTGGGTCCAGACAGGAGTCTGCCATTCAGTGATGCATGTCTGACATGATCTGTTTAGTTCACATGTGAATTTCAGCTTGTGAACCTTTAAACATCAAATTAATCTTCCTATACAGTACATTTGTTAATAAAGAAAATAAGGCGTCTAAAGTCACCTATTGTACTATTTATATTTTGTACGCAAACATTTTATTTTTGTATTGTACTTACCTGCTTAGATTTACCTGCATTTTCAAACCTTTTGCTAGCATTAACTTGTAGCCCAATGCTGGCTAACTTACCTGTGACCTCAAGACATTCATAATCAGAACTATGTTTTGCTAATGCTCCCTCTAATGTTTAGTTGTAATAGTGACATTGTGTTCGAAAGCACCAAGAGAGAGAGGAGGACCCAACCAAGAGATGGGGATTGTGGGACATGTAGTCTAGAAGACTGAGATTGCAATTAGCCAGTACTATCGTGAACTACAAGTTCCAGCCAGCTGCAGGAAGAGAAGTGGAATGCTGAGAGAGACTATACATATCAGACTCCGGAAAAAGCTCTTCCTCTTCGGACCAACGGCAGAAGCTGCATGGAGGGACCCAGCTGCTGTGGAGAGTTAGGTAGGCCACGTGGTCCAGACAGTGTGGAAAGTCTTTGGCAGGTGAGCTACAGACCTGCAAGCACATCATCCGTCCCCAGCTTCCTGTTGGAGGAGTGACTGACCAGAGACATGCACATTGTCACCTCCACAGTCCCAGCGGAATCCCAGTGTTACAAGGGGCTTGGCCAGGTTCCCCCTATGCTGGGTGCAGATTCTGCAGGAGCCCGTCCAGGACATCTTGAATCCCTTGAGCCGCAGTGTCATCAGCATTGGTGAGCAGGTAGACGCCCACACTGTGTACACTCTTCACTAAGGGACACTGCATGCAGACACTGTCTACCCCACATCTTCTTATCAATTAGTAGTCTCTTTCAGGAACCATTTGCACATATTATCCATCACTGCTTGTGGCCATATCATTGCTTGTCGCCATTGCACAGCAATCTCTATGGGCCCCTACTGAGCTAGCTGAAGATCCAGGACACTTTCTCAATCAAGACCGCTCCTCAAACCAAGGACTCAGTGCCTAATATCTAAGGGTGTGCTAAAGGGGGACTCTGTTCAGGATTTGTTTATAGCATAGCTCATACATTATCTATTACAAAATGTGTTGTTATTTCTGGACCTATGGCATCAGGAGTTTAAGGGAGCAGGCTGACACTAAGAAGTCTTTCTTTTCCCTTTCATACCTGGGGTCAAAGGCTCCCACTAAGCATATTGGAAACACTGTTTGAATCGTTGTGTTTATCTCAAGTACACATGTTCACACTTTGAGTCTAATAAGGGTGGTGGGTACATAAAGAAGTATAGGCATAAACATTATATACAGTTTGCTGACTGAACAATTCTTAGTAAATATTCAATTGCTTTACTGTATTCAGGCATCTGTGATATTGTTTTCCTTGTGCATTATGTCTGAACCCAGGGTGTCAGAGGTGTCGGGAGGCTTGCAAGATTAGGACAACCTTTGGGGACTGGTGTCTTACAGCGGGGCTCACGAGGGTAGCGCTACACACATTTGAAAAGGTTAAAAACTTCCACAGTGATGAATGTAGAGGGTTAATACCCATGAAGACAAATTAGAATTTTAAGGAAAAAATCTTGATCTGCAGGACACTGCATTTAAGGCATATGTGTGGATAGGAAATGAGGATAGAACAGCACAACCGCCATAGTATTGCATGGCAAATTAATGATAAAATCAGTGTTTCACCCTCTCCACCCCCTCCAAACAGGGACAGCTCAAAGCCAGTGGATGTCACATTTGGTATATTATAAATACAACCCATGTTACCAAGACATTGATCAATGTTTGATTAATCTCCTGCAAAGTTGTAAATGTGCTGTATAATTACAGTAGATGATTTGGCAGACATTTAAAGCAAATAGGTATTCAATAATCAATTAACCATACGCTGATAATGGTGGCAGCAGCAGGCTATAGGAGGGGGCAGTAGCTGGTAATAATGGCAGATCAGCAGGCATGGCGTGAGCAGATAATGGTGGCAGGCCAAGAGATGTGACTGGAGCTGATTGTGTTGGAAGACCAGCTGAGGTGTTAGCAGTGGGTAACAGAGTTGACAGGAGTTGGTATTAGTGGCAGACCAGCAGCGGTGGCAGGAGCAGGTAATGGTGGCAGGAGCTGGTAATGGTTTCAGGCCAGCAGCTGTGACAGTGGGTGTAATGGTGGCAGCCAGCAGCAGTGGCAGGCACAGGTAATAGTGTAAGGCAGGGACGGGCAACTGCATCCCTCCAGCTGTTGTGAAAACACAAGCTCGATCATTCCTCTGGGAGTAACTATCAGTCTTCCCATCATGCCTCTGCCTCTGGGAGTCATTCTTGTAACTATCAGTCCAACAATGTTTCATGGGAAATGAAGTTCCACAAGAGCTGGAGGGCTGCAGTTTCCCACCCCTGGTGTAAAGTATAATTTTTTGGACCAGATTAAAAGGGAAATAATTAGTCAGTAGCATCAGCTGCAGAGGGTTTGAAATTATTTACAGGGACTAGTTAATTTTTATAAAGTATGCCAGTCAACAGTGTCAGGAGGTAGGTGGATTTGTCTTTTTGTTACAAAACTGCCTGTTGCACTGAATGCCCACACAGATAGCACACTTGCTGAAGGACAGGCCAAAAGCTCCAGGGTGTTCTGTGCAAGCTCTGACTACTGGTCCATCCTTGGCACCTAAAAGTTGAGGAGGACTGCATCCCAAGTAGTCTGAGATCATATGGTTTAGATGCTGCCTGAACAATTTTGGGTACCAACTTTTGTTGCCACTGTAGACACAACCTTATATTTTAATATTTAAAAAAAAAAATTAGTAATTTATGAATCCAATTTACATCACTACTTTACACTGGAAATCAATTAACAATAATCCTCAGGTGTTATACATGCAACCCCATGGGTCATGCACAATGAAAAAGACAATAATTTACTGTGAGTGCAATGACTCCCAGCAACAGTAAAATATTTTCTACATTATTTCACCACCACTTCAAATATTTATGCCTTCAGCATTATGACGTAATTTGCCCCATACTAGCAAGCGATTATTTTATAATATTACTTTCCTTTATATAAGCCAATTTAATAGCAAAGAACAGAGGATTCCTAAAGATCAGAAAAAGGATAACACATATGCAGATGATATTATTTATTGTGAGAACTATAGTATAAAACAAAAGAATCAAACAAAAATGCTTCATGTGACAGGACCATAAATCAAAAAACCATGAAGCTAGCTGTGCCCGTAGCAGGCTGCTACAGCGTTGGGACGCTCATGCTGAAAGATAGAAATAAAAACTGAGAGGATTGCTGGTAAAACTGCAACTGATATTATATTTCTTACAAATCTTAACACTTTGTTAAACATTGAAAAGTGTATTTCAGAATGTTTACTGAAATTGCTTAATTTTCAACAATCATCAATACACTATATTGCCAAAAGTATTGGGACGCCTGCCTTTACACGCAGATGAACTTTAATGGCATTCCAGTCTTAGTCCGTAGAGTTCAATATTGAGTTGGCCCACCCTTTGCAGCTATAACAGCTTCAACTCTTCTGGGAAGACTGTCCACAAGGTTTAGGAGTGTGTCTATGGGAATGTTTGACCATTCTTCCAGAAGCGCATTTGTGAGGTCAGGCACTGATGTTGGACGAAAAGACCTGGCTCGCAGTCTTCGCTCTAATTCACTCCAACGGTGTTCTATTGGGTTGAGATCAGGACTCTGTGCAGGCCAGTCAAGTTCCTCCACCCAAAACTTGCTTGTCCATGTCTTTATGGACCTTACTTTGTGCACTGGTGTGCAGTCATGTTGGAACAGGAAGGGGCCATCCCCAAACTGTTCCCACAAAGTTGGGAGCATGAAATTGTTCAAAATGTCTTGGTATGCTGACGCCTTAAGAGTTTCCTTCACTGGAACTAAGGGGCTATGCCCAACCCCTGAAAAACAACCCCACAACATAATCCCCCCTCCACCAAACATTACACTTGGCACAATGCAGTCAGGTAAGTACCAGTCTCCTGGCACCTGCCAAACCCAGACACGTCTGTAGGATTGCCAGACAGAGAAGCATGATTCATCACTCCAGAGAACACGCCTCCACTGCTCTAGACTGCTTTACGCCACTGCACCTGATGCTTTGTATTGCACTTGGTGATGTAAGACTTGGATGCAGCTGCTCAGCCATGGAAACCCATTTCATGAGGCTCTCTATGTACTGTTGTGCAAATCTGAAGGCCACACAAAGTATGGAGGTCTTTAGCAATTGACTCTGCATACAGTTGGAGACTTCTACGCACTGTGCTCTTCAGCATGCGCTGACCCCGCTCTGTCATTTTACGTGGCCTACCACTTTGTGGCTGAGTTACTGTTGTTCCCAGTTGCTTCCACTTTGTTATAATACCACTAAAAGTTGACCGTGGAATATTTAGTAGCAAGAAAATTTCACGGATGAAATTATTGCACAGGTGGCAACCTATCACGATATCAAAGTTGAATTCACTGAGCTCCTGAGAGCGACCCATTCTTTCATAAATGTTTGTAGAAGCATGCTGTATGCCTAGGTGCTTGATTTTATACACCTGTAGCCATGAAGGTGATTGGAACACCTGAATCCAATGATTTGGAGGGGTGTCCCAAAACTTTTGGCAATATAGTGCATATCAGTTGATGTGTTAACCGCTTTTGCTCCACCCTATAGCAGGATTACTGTTACAGGGCAGACTCACTGTACAAAATCAGCAGTGCCGTGATTTGGTGCTGCACCGATCAATCAGCAGATTCAGGCCAGTGATGTTCAGCCTGGATCTGCTGATTGATCACTGCCCTATCAGAGATCTTCCTGTACCTGTGTTTACAGAACATGAAATGATACAATCTTCTCTCCCTGGTCACATTCCATTCCAGAGAGAGAAGAAAGCAGATATGAGTGAGCAAAAACAGCACACTTTTACAGTAAAAGCACAGCTGGGTCACATTTAACCCACTGATTGCCCCCCAGTTAACCCCATCACTGCCCTGTCACCAGTGTCATTAGTACAGTGTGCAGATTTCTTTTTACTGATCACTATATTTGTGTCACAGACGTTAGCGTCAGCGTCCCTCTCAGATAGCGTCAGATTGCCCGCCACTACATTAGTCATCACATTTAACCCTTTGATTGCCAGGAACACACTGACACAATAAACCTCCATTGCTAGTATAGTGTCTGAACGGATCAATATCAGATCAGAACTATACCAGTGTTCACAATAGTATAGTGTTGCCAAAAATGCAGCGTCAGCACGATCTGCCCTGGCGTTTAGCCCCTAAGCTTACCCCCCTTCTCCCCCAGCAAGTGCAGTGTCAGTTGATCACTGTCACTTGATATATTGCACACAAAATCGCAGTGTTAGCAGAATCAGGCCTGATCTCTGCTAACACTTACAGGTAAATATTTTTGTAGCGGTTTAAGCAGTCCCTGACAGCCAGGTGCTCTTTTTTCCCATGAGTTTGCACTAGGTACCTACAAATTTAGTGGTCAAAATGTCCAATGAAAGGTACTCTAGTGAAGAGGCCTACAGGATTCTGACCATGTCAGGTGAGAGCAAAGAGGAAGCCTCACTGACAGAATCAAGCTCAGAGTACGAACCTGTAGACAGCAGCGGCACCCTGACAGGTTGCTCAGACGACGGAGTAGAGGTCCCTGTTAAGGTCAGGTGTACCCGACCCTGTTCCCAGTTTGCTGAAGTGGTACAACTGCATGATGATTCTCTTATGCAGCAGAGTGCCAGAACTAGTTCCGCTCTACCTTTTGGTGAACAGGCGAGCACCAGCGGCCTAGTGCATCCAGCACTGCAGTATCACTTAGTGACCTGGCGAATCCCATAAGTGCAGTACAAGCTGGTGTGGTGGCTAGCACAAGTAGTGTCCCGCAGCCACCAAGAATTTGAACACAGGCCCGTAGAGCACATAGTGTCCTTCCAGATTTGCTTGCAAATCCTGACTGGCTTCCCCCATTCACTGCCCAACCTGGAATTCAGGTGGAAACATCAAATTTAACTACTCCCCTTGATTTTTTGGAGCTGTTTTTCACGGAAGATCTGTATGGATTGATTGTGGATCAAAGCCATTTACAGTGGGGCAAAAAAGTATTTAGTCAGCCACCAATTGTGCAAGTTATCCCACTTAAAAAGATGAGAGAGGCCTGTAATTGGCATCATAGGTAGACCTCAACTAAGAGAGACAAAATGAGAAAACAAATCCAGACAATCACATTGGCTGATTTGGAAAGAATTTATTTGCAAATCATGGTGGAAAATAAGTTTTTGGTCACCTACAAACAAGCAAGATTTCTGGCTCTCACAGACCTGTACCTTCTTCTTTAAGAGGCTCCTCTGTCCTGCACTCATTACCTGTATCAATGGCACCTGTTTGAACTTGTTATCAGTATAAAAGACACCTGTCCACAACCTCAAACAGTCACACTCCAAACTCCACTATGGTGAAGACCAAAGAGCTGTCGAAGGACACCAGAAACAAAATTGTAGACCTGCACCAGGCTGGGAAGACTGAAGCTGCAATAGGCAAGCATCTTGGTGTGAACAAATCAACTGTGGGAGCAATAATTAGAAAATGGAAGACATACAAGACCACTGATAATCTCCCTCGATTTGGGGCTCCAAGCAAGATCTCACCCCGTGGGGTCAAAATGATCACAAGAACGGTGAGCAAAAATCCCAGGACCACAGGGGGGGACCTAGTGAATGACCTGCAGAGAGCTGGGACCAACGTAACAAAGGCTACCATCAGTAACACACTACGCCGCCAGGGACTCAGATCCTGCAGTGCCAGACGTGTCCCCCTGCTTAAGCCAGTACATGTCCGGGCCTGTCTGAAGTTTGCTAGAGAGCATTTGGATGATCCAGAAGAGGATTGGGAGAATGTCATATGGTCCTGATGAAACCAAAATAGAACTGTTTGGTAGAAACACAACTTGTCGTGTTTGGAGGAGAGAGAAAGCTGAGTTGCATCCAAAGAACACCATACCTACTGTGAAGCATGGGGGTGGCAACATCATGCTTTGGGGCTGTTTCTCCGCAAAGGGACCAGGACAACTGATCCATGTACGGACAGAATGAATGGGGCCATGTATCGTGAGATTTTGAGCGCAAACCTCCTTCCATCAGCAAGGGCATTGAAGATGAAACGTGGCTGGGTCTTCCAACATGACAATGATCCCAAACATACCGCCCGGGCAACGAAGGAGTGGCTTCATAAGAAGCATTTCAAGGTCCTGGAGTGGCCTAGCCAGTCTCCAGGTCTCAACCCCATAGAAAACCTTTGGAGGAAGTTGAAAGTCTGTGTTGCCCAGCGACAGCCCCAAAACATCACTGCTCTAGAGGAGATCTGCATGGAGGAATGGGCCAACATACCAGCAACAGTGTGTGCCAACATTGTGAAGACTTACAGGAAACGTTTGACCTCTGTCATTGCCAACAAAGGATATATAACAAAGTATTGAGATGAACTTTTGATATTGACCAAATACTTATTTTCCACCATAATTTGCAAATAAATTCTTTCCAAATCAGCCAATGTGATTGTCTGGATTTTTTTTCTCATTTTGTCTCTCATAGTTGAGGTCTACCTATGATGCCAATTACAGGCCTCTCTCATCTTTTTAAGTGGGAGAACTTGCGCAATTGGTGGCTGACTAAATACTATTTTGCCCCACTGTATATGCACAACAATTTATTGCCGCCAACCCGAATTCAAATCTTGCCAGACAATTTGCATGGAAACCTATTACGATTTCCGAATTTAAAGTTTTTTTGGTCCTAACTTTCAACATGGGCATTACTAAAAAAAAATGAATTGCGGTTGTATTTGTCCACAGACCCAATTCATCATATTCCCGTGTTCTCTGCTGCCATGGCCAGGCATAGATATGAGAATATAATGCGATTTATGCATTTCAATGATAATACACTCTGTCGTCCTGGGGGTGACCCTGAATTTGACCGGCTCCACAAACTTCGGTCCCTCGTAAATCACCTTAACCATTTGTAGATGTGCATACTCCCCAGCAAAACATCTGTGTTGAAGAGTCCCTTATTAGTTTTTCTGGCTGCCTTGCATACAAATAATTATCTCCTCAGCAAGTGTGTCAGATATGGGGTCAAAATGTATAAGACCTGTGAGAGGGCACCAGGCTATACATATAAGTTTTGGATTTACGAGGGAAAAGATAGTTACATGGAGCCCCCCCCAGGATGCCCAGACTACATGGGGAGCAGTGGCAAGATAGTCTGGGACTTGGTGTCATGATTTTTCCTTTTTCCATATGGGGTACCACTTATATGTGGACATTTTTTATTCAAGTGTACCACTATTTAGACATTTGTACAATCTTGGAATTGGCGCATGTGGCACTGTGCAACCTAATTGCCGGGGCTTCCCCCAATGGTTTGTAAATACCCATCTTAGAAAGGGGGAAAAAGCCTGCTTGAGAAATGAGGAATTACTCGCAAGGACAAAGGGATGTTTTCGTCCTGTATTCAATTCATGCACATACAACCATCTAAATTACCATGGCAGCTGGTGTTGTTGAGAAGCCCATCTGTGTCCATGACTACAACCTGAACATGGGAGGGGTGGACTTCAACGACTAGATGATGAAGCCGTACTTAGTTTCCCAAAAAGCCAGATGCTGGTACAAAAAAGTGTCTGTTTATTTATTTCAATTGGCTCTATATAATGCTTTTGTGGAAGGTGCTGTGGCCCAAACCCCCAACCCAGATGCAGTTAGCCAGCTGCATGAGAGCCATTTTACCGATGCAATTCCTGGTACCCCCCAACCCAAAAGACACCCCCAAAAAAGATGTTGTGTCCGTAGCAGACACGAAATTAGGCGTGACACCCGCTTTGTTTGTCCCTCCTGTCCTGGCCAACCTGGTCTCTGTCTCAAGGACTGCTTCCATCACTACCATACACTAGTGAACTCTTGGTATAGGGTAGAGCACGACACATATATGCACAGGGTCTCGAAAGATGTTAGGTAGTCAGGAAACTGTCTATCGCATTTTGAGAGACCCTACCATCTGGTTAAAGTTAAAAAAAAAAAATAAAAATGTACAAAACCCCCCCAAAAAAAAAAGTAAAAAAATTAAATAAATAAACAAAAATAGTTATTATTTTGTTGCTGCCAAGTTACTGTTTTATTGCTACTGTTTTATTGTTAACCGTAGTTGCAGCTGAATGTCATTCAGCTGCAGCACTGATCTGTTTATTTTGACAGCAACAGGGTCTTGCTCTCAAAATATACATAAGTGTTTGCAGTGCTGTTGGATGAGATTATTCATCCGCAGTTATAAAAGAGCATATATGCTCAAGCATGAGGGCCTGGGGTTGCCAGTGGGTGGATGGCCCTATTCTTCGGCATATATATTATATAATATTTTTTGGCACCGATTTCAATAAAAAAAGTTGCTTTATCGAGTTACTGTTTTATTGCTACTGTTTTATTGTTAACCCTTGCTCTTTTCTTTGCAGGAATGCCATTCAGCTGCAGCAGCACCGATTTGTTTATTCT